AGACACCCTAGTCCCTGCACCGAAAGAGAGAGAGAGACAGAGAGAGACGGACTCAGACAGAGTGGGACAAAGACGGAGCAGAGACACACACACAAACCAGCCTGAGAGAGGGCAGATTCATCAGCCTCCACTGAAGTTTCCAGGACCGCCCCCAACCCTGACACACAGGCTGGAGCCATGCTGGAGCTAGCTGGGAGCTTTGACCAACCTGGCCCAGCCCTGCAGCCTCCCAGCTGCGCCAGCCCAGGGCCCTGGACTCCCCACTCACTCCCGTCAGGGCCTCTGTCCAGGCTGCCCCTCTGCCAGAACATTCTTCCCTCTATCTCCTCCTTGGCCTTTGAGCCTCTCCTCGTTCCACAAGCTCCCAGCTCCCCTACAGCCCTGCACAGTTCCTTCTGTGCCTCCCCATAACCCTAGCCCCTGACACAAGGCCCAGCCACCTAGACCTGGAGCTGCCGAGGGCTGTCTGGGATCCCCAGGCCCTGCTCCTGAAAAAGCAGTGGTTGAAGAAATGAATGAAGGCTGGGTGCAGTGGCTGATGCCTGTAATCCAAGCACTTTGGGAGGCTGAGGTGGGCGGATAACTTGAGCTCAGGAGTTCGAGACCAGGCTGGCCAACATGGCGAAACCCCGTTTCTACTAAAAATACAAAAATTAGCCGGGTGTGGTGGTGCATGCCTGTAATCCCAGCTACTTGGGAGGCTGAAGCAGTAGGATCACTTGAACCCAGGAGGTGGAGGTTGCAGTGAGCTGAGATTACACCACTATACTCCAGCCTGGGTGACAGAGGGAGACTCTGACTCAAAAGAGAGAGAGAGAGAGAGGGAGAGAGAGGGGGAGAGAGAGAGAGAATATACGAATCAGTGGAATGAGTGAGGAAAACTTCAAGTGATGATGATGGAGAGAGAAAATGAGAAGGGTGAGCACAAGAATGAGGCCAGCATGGATACAGAGAGAAGGCCCTGGGATGGGGCTGTCACGGCTGATGACCGGGAGCAGGAGCTGGTGGAACCCATGGGGCCCTGGGAACAGGGACCTTGGAACTGGGCACTTCAATCCCAAAGGCTGGGCTTGGGGGGCCAAGCAGGAAGACTGGGGAGAGCACCATGAAGAAGCCTAGAGGAAGAGCTATAGGCACCCAGCTCAACTGGACATCTGTCATTGGACAGATGGGGAAACTGAGGCTCAGAGAAGGAAAGGACCTTGAGGAGATCTAGTCCTCTCCTGATATGAAGGCCACCCTCCCCACAACAGACACACAGCTACCCCAGATTGGCAGAGAACTGGAATGTTGGATAATCCACAGATCAGATTGGAGTGGGGGCGCTGTAGAGTTGAGGATCTGAGATTTGTTGGGGCAGAAGAGCTCAGGACACACACACAACAAGTACCTAAGAGTGGGGCTGGGGAGGGATTGGAGGTACAGGGACAACGAGGTGCCAGAGGGCAGGGGTCATAAGGAATAAGGAAGAGGCCATTGGGCCCTGTAATCTGGATGCTGGGATAACTGGGGAGTGTCTGGATACTGGGGATCCCAGGATGGCGGAGGCCTAGGGGATCAGGCTATCAGGATTTGGGCAGGGACCATGAAAAAACAGAGGGTGAGAATATGAAAGAGTTCCCATGTCAGGAGTTGGGAAAATTCAGAAGTTCAGAGATTAGAGAGGGATTGGGGCTTCTAGAAGTCCAGAACTTGGAAAGGAAGTTGGAAGGTCAGAAGTCTGGGGGGAGAGGGGAGAAGTCATGGGGCTGAGGCAGGAAGGCATCCGATGGCAAAGGGGGTGGGAGGTTGGAAAATCGGATCCAGGCCTGATGCTAATATTTGGCGACGTTGAGGAGAGGAAGGGTGTCTATTGTATCATTCTCTGTTGTTTTTTGTTTTGTTTTGTTTTTGAGACAGAGTTTCACTCT